ACCAGGGCTTGTTATGTAATTACATGGATTCAGTATGGTTCTTTTCTTAGAAAACTGTTACAAAAGATCATTTCTGCACGAATTCCTTCACCAATGGAGACTTTGAATATCTTGGAGATGAATATCCATGTCTCTAAATGTTAAGCCACTTGAATAAATAATTTAATCACATTTACTTCTTTTAATCAGATGAAATTGGTTATGTGTTATTAATGAACTTTGAAAACCTTAAAATTTCTGTTTTTGGCTGATCTTCAAATAATAAAATTAAATAAGCAATAAAGACAGCTAAACCAATTTAAAACTTTTTTTTGTTTTTCCTTAAGTTGTAGCTGAGCTTACCAATGCATGTGCTATGACTTAGCCAGGAATCAAATGCAAGTGACTGAGGAGTGAAGCTCCTCCAAAGCAAAACAAATCAGAAACTTTGAGAAATTTAACTGCAGAGTCATGATACTGTGAATAGTCGTGACCTAAAGACTAAAGTTGGTTTCCTGTCCATGATTTGGTCATTGTATGTCTGTGTTTACTTCAAAGCAAAAAACAAAGCAGGTTGAATTTAAATAGTACTTACATTAAAAGATAGGGGCATCATTTTCTATTTTAAACCCATCATAGATGGTGGTCCACGTTCATCACATTTATTACAATGATAAAAACTCACTCTTGTGGATATCACACATTTGAATACAGAAAAAAGCAAGAGAGCTGAAGACATCTCAGTAATTATGACTTGGAAGCACTTGCTAGGCCATCCTCTGGCCTCAAAACTCCTTTGTCCAGCTCTCACCATTATCCATCCTCTGTCACATAGGAACTTACCAGCTTACAAAAGCAGAATGGAAACGACACACAAATGCAATCTAATAGTCAAGCCATTAAAGCTTGAAAAAAAAGAAAAAATTCCTGAATTGTTGATTCTAGGATTTTTTTATCTGTAGAAAATTTCAGTTGAGCTTTCATTTTCCTCTCCTAGCATTGTTCTTATCCATAGAATTCATAATTCTCTTCCTGAGAGGTACAGATTATTAATTTTTTAAATATTCTTTTTTAAAAAAATCTTTAGCTCAATCCAAATGTCCCAAGTGAGTGATAGGAAACCAACTATTTGGGCCATGACCTGCTGCCTTCCAGGGTGCACGTTAACAGGAGACTGGAGTCTAAATGCTACTGGGAGTCAACCCCAAGCATTCTGATGTAGAATGCAGGAGACTCAAAACCAGTTTATAGGAAAAGGAGAAATGTATTACGGATTATATGGATGACCATAATGATGCAAATGGAGGCAAGCTGGAGCCTTGTCCCAGCTAACCTAGCAACACAGCACTCAGCAAGTACTTGGCATCAGATCGTTCTTAAAAACAGGCATGGAGTATAGCACTGGACAGTGAATGTTCTTGAATTTCTCTGTGACGTTAGCCATCTCTGCCCAACTCCAGATAAATTTGTCAGCCTGAATGGAAGACATTGCAAAGGGATTTAAACACCCCCCCATCGGAGTGAATACTAATGATAAAAAAAATTATAGCAAGCAAGATTATTTTCAAGTTTGTGAATGTTTATCCTCTCAAGACAGCACTGTCCTAGGTGCTATAACTTACAATTTTCCATGACCATTAGGAGATATGATTTCAATACTTAATGATGGTATTTTTTATAACTCTGTCATGCAGAAAAAACTGCGAATGAAATAAGGTGTTTAGTGCTCTTTTTCTCTAAGTCAAGGCCAAGCTCGTGTTTAAGAAGTAGATCAGAGAAGGCATCTGTTTGGTCTTCCTTTGGCAACAGCCTGCTTCTCTGTGGGTAGCTGAGCTAAGGCTGTTGATAACGTCACAGGAAGCGCCTCAATGCATCCAGCCAGGTTCCAGTGCACACAGTGTGACCAGATCAGGGCTGTCAGCTGTGCTGTGATTTAGAGAGAAGCAGTTCTGAGGTTACACATCTGGGGACACCATCTACTTCTCCCGCTTGCTCTGTTGCTTCCAGAAATTCCAAGCTCACCAAAAATAAGGTCTACAGAGTTGGTTGTTAAGTGCTACATTTCTTGCTATGGTAGGTAACATTTTATGTACAAAATGTTTCTCACCTCCCACTCACCACACCCTTGCAGGCTGGCTCCTATTGAATTTCTAGGTGTCAACATCTAGATATTTCACTCTGACTCAACTTTCCATTCTCATATTTGATAAGATTGGTACAAATGAAGTATACCTGGAAATATCCAACCCTGTGTTTTTTGCATACCTCAGTTGTTCAATAATGACATTAAGGGGCTGAAAACAAAACTAACAGTTATTTTTCTCATACAAAAGAAATCACAATTGAATCTTCTTTGGAAAAAAAAAAACTTACTGAGCATTCACTTCTTCCCTGGTATTTTTTAAAGTGTGTGTATTAATGCACATAATATTTGCAGCAGCTCAAAGTGTGAGGATGGGGTACATTTCGACAATAAGAGGTTAAGTAGCTTGCTCAAAGGGGCACCTACCAAATGGTAAAGACAGATGTTGAGTACAAGTAGTCTGACTCCTAAATCTGAGTCTTAACCTCCGTGTTACACTGACTCTGAGTCAGTGAATTCAAAGCACCCCTGCTGCATTTAAAATAAGATATGTATTTAAAATACAGCAACCTTTATTAGAGTATAAGTGCTGCTTAAAGCAAGATATGCTTGTGGAAACCAGTGCTGTAATTTCAGGATTTTCTTTCTAACTAATGAAAGGCATTTTCTTTGCAAGAGAATTAAGCACCAAATTGTGCAAGGGTTGAAACGCTCACCGAAATCAGGATTACACCCACTTTGACATGCTGTGTCAAGCACCCAGGGCATAAGGAAAGAAAAGCAGGCTGGAGTGAATGGTTACACATCCCGATTTGAGCCTCAGCCATATATGTGGGTTAGTTTCCAAATGGACATTTGCATTGCCTTTATGTGGATCAAGTTGGTGTTTATTTGCCAAACATGTTATTTAGATCTAGGAAAATGACAGGATGGCCCCAGGAAAGTTTCACAATTATAATCTAACTGGCTCCCCAGCTTGCTTTGGATAAAGGGGCTCCTGGCATGTTGGATAAACACAACCTCGAACAGTGGGTTGGTTTTCAGAAGGTGGTGGTCCCCATTCTTACAGCAGGTCTCAAATGGGACTTGTGAACGGACATTCAGAATCCTTGTACCAACACCTAAAGTCTGATGTTGCTGTTACTGAAATTTAGAAACTCGCGGTGCATTCTTGGTTCTGACTTGTGGGGGGGGGGGGGGGTTAAAAAGAGAGCCAGAGATTATCTTCGTGAAAAATCTAGTTTTTATTACATCACCTAAAGTAGCACAACCTGCTACACTAATGAAATCGTGTTCTTGGTTTAAAAGGGCAATTGTTAGCCTGACTTTGTGCTCACTAAAAACATCCCCCAATCTTGTTAAGTTATTGCTCTCATTTCAGGTTTTTATAGCTGTGCAGCTTACCAGCCCTCATTTCTTTACGTTTCATTCATTTTCCTTGTATTGATGATTAATGGAGGATGTCGAATGTTAGAGTGAGCAGGCATCAGCAATTGCAAGATCATAATTAGTTTAGCTGACGAGGGCCTCTGATAGCACTTGCATCTGGATGGAAAAATTACCCTATAGGGAACTGGCTGCTCACCAGGTCTTTTTAGTGATACATTGTGAAACACCCGATGAATCAAATGCCCTTTCAATGCCAAGAAAGTGTTCCAGTCTTGAAGCCAAAATTATGTCTGCAGAAAGCTTTCCATTTGAAATGTATCAGAGTACAATTATAACCATTGTATTTTCTTGGCAGGGATACCACTCTTCTACAGTATGGACTCGAGTTAAATAAATTGCCTAAATTTTATGAATCCCCGAAATTTTGACTTATAGCATTGTAATATTTAATTTATAATAAAATTGGGTTCTAGCAAGACTTTTTCCACTCCTTATCTAACATGAATATTTTATCATTAAAGACTTTGCTTTCTAGAGAAAGGGGAGCTGAGCTGCAATTCAGGCTTTTTCTTTCTTTCTTTCTTTCTTTTTTTTTCTGCAGCAAGAGAATTCCATTTCCTGCCTGTTAGTATTTGTGCCTACAAACACAGCCTGACTTTTGTTTAAATGAGAAGTTTAACTCATTTAAGCAGAATCATCACTTGATAGGAAGAATGCAACAAGCAACACTAATTATCTACTTTTAACTATTCTTAAATTATTTCTGAATCTGGTGATTACAGAATTCAGGTCACCAACATCACTTTTTCCTTGGAAATGCTTGTGATTTCCAAGCCTGAGTCAAATGAAATAAATAAATAGCCATTGATGGGATCACATTGTCTTGCTTTAAGCAGGCACCTCTTAAGCCTTCTCATTAGTAGTGCTTCTCTTTGGCAGGAGTTTCTACTGGTCCCCTCAGCTCTGTAGAATACAGTGTGTTCTCTTTCAGATTTTAAAACTGCAAGCGAAAAGACCAGCAATCGAGTGTCTCCTAGTCTGTTAGGACTTTCATTACATGCGTAACAGAAGAAGATACAAATCAGCCCTAATTTTAAATGGCTTCCAAGCTGCCTTTATTCCAAGCTTGACTGTTTTTAAGCTCAAGTAGTATGTGCCCCTCTTTTTCCAAAGTATATGAAGCATGTTGCCATGTTCCATTTTTTTTTTCTTTTTTAGCTTTTGCCTTGGCACTTTTAAAAGGTGTATTTTAGGATTCAGCATTGAGGAGCCATCATTAAACCCACAAAACCCAAAAGTTCAAAAAGTTAAAGCTGTTTCTGTGAAAAGCCTTTGGTGTTCCACACACCTCATCCATCACTGTAGGGTTAATTATAATGAAAATCAGTGGTGCCTATTAAACACAATTGAACCTGACCTCATTATGGGCACTGTGGTTTTATACTGTCATTGTTGCAAGTCTGAAGACAAAACTCCTGGGTTGATTTGGTCTAACTCCACTGATCATGTGACTCACCTCTGACCTTGTTTTTTTTTTTCCCCGTTTCAGAGGCGTAGAGGCTCCGGTGTTTTTTGTGCCAATTGCCTGACCACAAAGACCTCTCTCTGGCGAAAGAACGCAAATGGCGGATATGTATGCAACGCGTGTGGCCTCTACCAGAAGCTTCACTCGGTAAGAACCTGTTCCACTGTTCCAGGAAAAGCTTCATAAAGCAGGCTGGCCTGGTGTGCTGGGTGATAAGCCCCACTCCCTGGCCTGTACCGCCAGCCCCCGCAGGGTTGTTTAATACAGTCACTTTGAATGCACACGTGATTTATGGTGAAAGAGGCTTAGATGTAATGGGGAGATACATATGAGCTCATTAGTAATGCATTATGCCCCTTTTGTTATAAAAGAGGAAAATGATTGACTTCTGGGAACTTCACATAATAGAAAGTCAAACTCATGGTTACTGTTGTTCAGTAGAATTAATTGAGATGCAAAGAGAAACATTAAAAGTTTCAGAAATACCCAAAGAAGTTGCTTTTTTTTAAAGACTCTGACATTATAAAATATGGGGCAGGGAAAGAATGCTATTTTTCCAGCTTACCTGAGAAATTTGCAAGTGACATCTTGGCTGCTTGGGCGCTGGAGATCCGGGCATTCACAAGTGCAGTTCTGAACAAGGATCAGAGACTGTCACTTGCATCTCTGGTTCTTCCAGTGGACCTGGCGTGAGCGGTCTGCCTGCGGCCCTTCAAGGCTGAGTAAGGTGCTTGGGTGCTTTGTGTTGTCATCATCTCCAGCTGCTGTTGGCTCACAGTGGTCCTTCAAATTGCATTTTCCCACATTTAGTTAGAATTGTAGAATAAAATTTAAACTCACAGCCGCCCCCCACCTGTATATGCATTTGACTTACTGAAGGAGAAATATGCTTTAGTTTAGAAAATTTATCTGCAGGCCGGCGCCGCGGCTCACTATGGCTGATCTTCCGCTTGAGGCGCCAGCACCCCGGGTTCTAGTCCCTGTTGGGGCACCGGATTCTGTCCCGGTTGCTCCTCTTCCAGTCCAGCTCTCTGCTGTGGCCCAGGGGTGCAGTGGAGGATGGCCCAGGTCCTTGGGCCCTGCAGTTGCATGGGAGACCAAGAGGAAGCACCTGGCTCCTGGCTTTGGCTCGGCACAGCGCACCGGCGGTAGCAGCCATTTGGGGAGTGAACCAACAGAAGGAAGACCTTTCTCTCTGTCTCTCTCACACTGTCTAACTCTGCCGGTCCAAAAAAAAAAAAATTTATCTGCAGACAAGAGCTGACTCTAAAATAGGAATGCCCCATATAGTCAACAGAAATCTCTTTCCCTGTGCCTTTTACATTTGATTGGGCATTTTACCCCAGCTCTTAGCACAAGCCAGTGAATGGATTACAGCTACAAGGAATACAGTTTTAGACAAAACATTCTCATAAATGGACCATTGGAAGCACTCGTAAAAAAAAAAAAAATGCTGTCAACAATACTACCTGGTAGTGAACTATAAAAACCTTAATTATTGGCATGTGACTAATACTAAGATACCACCACCCTGCACCACCACACATTTTTATAATCTTAATTATTTAAGCTCAGGAGTAAGCTTTCACTTGATGAGGATCAACATTAATGATTTTAATTGAACTTTGGCCAATCATAGGTCAAAATTAATTAAACTACTGTTCCACTAGGTTATGATAATTACTATGATATAAACTATTTCCTAAAAAATATTTTAATACTCATCTCTGCAAATCAGAGGCAATATTTTTTAGATGTATTTATTTATTTGAAAGGCACTGTTAGAGAGAGGGAGATATTCCGTCCGCTGGTTTACTCTACAGATGGTTGCAAAAGCCAGAACTGGGCCAAGCCGAAGCCAAGAGCCAGGAGCCTCCTCAGGATCTCCCACATGGGTGGCAGGGGCCCAAACACTTCGGCCATTTTCCACCTGCTTTTCCCTGGCGATTAGCAGGAACCAGGATCAGAAGTGGAGCAGCTGGGACAACAACCGGTGCCCATATGGGATGCTGGCGTTGCAGGCTGTGGCTTTACCTGGTACACCACAGTGCTGACTCTAAGATGCTCACATTTTATGTCAAAAACTGCCACAAAAGTTATGAAACTTTAAAAATGGAATGCAAATTTCAGATGTCTTTCAGGAGATTAAGTACTGCTTATTTTATAATACTAATATGAACTCTTTATAAACCTGAGCATTCTGACCAAAAAATGCACATGGCCTATTCAAGCTATGCAGCATTTTCATTTTAAAACCAGAAATTTTCAATACCTTTATGATGATAGAAATATTGCAAAACAGTTTTATATTTGTATTTTGGTTGGTATATTAATGATATTCTCTTGCATTAAGTTGCATCCTTTCTGGCCATAATTCATGAATTAAATATTGCTTACATTTATATTTTATATCAAAAGTATTTTCTGGGGCTGGCACTGTAGTACAGCAGGTTAAGCCATTGCCTGCCACACCAGCATCTCTTGGGGGCTGGTTCAGGTCCTGGCTGCTCTACTTATGATCCAGCTAATGCATCTGGGAAAGCAATGGAAGATGAGCCAAGTGCTTTGGCTCCTACACCCACATAGTAGACCTGGAACAGGGTCCTGGCTCCTGATTTCAGCCTGGCCTAACCCTTGTCATTGCAGCCATTTGAGAAGTGAGCCAGAAGATGGAAGATCTCTGTTTCTCCTTCTTGTCGCTCCCCCTCTTCGTGGAGGAACGACACAGGACCCTGCACTGTTCTTTTGTCTGCTCGGCCCTCCCCGGGTTGGCTGCCGTCCCTTCCACCTCCGTGGAAGGGCGGTTCCCCCTGCCACATTCCCCACTTCCACAGGGGAGCGGCACACCGCCGGCCGGCTCTCTCAGGGGCTGCACACGTGTTCCCCTTAGATGTTCCCCTTAGATGTTCCTGGTGCATGCCGTCTCTCTCCTCCTTTTTAGTCCTCCTCCGCCAATCCTAACTCGGCTGCCCACACGCCGAGTACACTGCTCTCCTCCAATCAGGAGCAAGTCCTACAGTTTATTGGCTGAACTGGAGGCAGCTGTGTAGAAGCTGTTTTCTTCTCTCCCAGCGCCATATTGTGGGAGAGCAGATGCATAGAATAAATCTTAATTCCAGTAACTTAGTCTAGTCTGAGTTGCTCCCCACACTTCTCTCTCTATAATTCTGCCTTTCAAATAAATAAATAAATCTTTTAAAAAAGGAAAATATTATTTTCTGATTTCAGCAGCCTATTTAAATTTATCCTGAATTTTTATTCTGTAAATATGTTTTGATTCATTAAACTTATTTTAATTTTATAAATCAAGTTAGAACTTTCACTGCAAGTAAAGTTTTTTTTTAGTCTTATCTGTTGATTTTAGTCATGTTATAGAAACACCTGTTGAACACACACATAGTTGCCAGGAACGTAAAGCTAAATAAAACACTTAAGCTGAGTAAAAGTCAGCATGCATTTTAGGTAAAGAGTAGAGTGACAGATTGAGTATTTGAACCAAGGCCACAAATGAATTTAGACTTTCAACAGAAAACTAATGCTCTGCCTATTAACAAGTAGAATCTTCCCTAGTGAATATAAAAATATCATTTAAGAAGACAAAAATGAGAGAAAACACAACCTTCTGATACGATTTTGATTATCTGATCTCTTTCCTCACAAAATTCATATTTTATAACCACATTTCTAATCATTTGGAAGGATGCATGTAAAAGAGGTCTTCAGGGAGTTTATGGGAAAGGTGTGTTGTGAGAAAAATATGCATGGACTTCAAAAATTTTTTCACCAAAGTAAACTTGTCTTTTCATTCTATTTCCTGTGAACTCACAGCAGTATCCTTGTACCAGTCCGCTTAGGCTGCCTTGACAAAGTGACACAGATTGGTCTGCTTAGAACAGTAGCAATGCTTATTTTCTCACGGGTCAGGAGACTGGGTGTCCAGGAGGTTGCTCTTTCTCACTGAGCTGCCTTCTTGCTGTGTCCTCCCGTGGTGGGGAGAGATACCTCTCTCTTCCCCTCTTCCCATTGGATTAGGACTCTACCTTTATAACCTTCTTTAACCTTAATGTCTTCTCTGAAGATCTTATCACAAAACACAGTCACATTCAGGGTTAGGTCTTCAACACCTGCATTTTGGAGGGTGCAACTCAGTCCATAGCAGTGCACAGTTTTCCAGTTGATATCAATACGTATCTCCTGAGTTACTTTGTTATTACGTTAGTGCAGAACACAAAAATGGAAAATATTCCAGAAAAGTCAGTGTCTTCACATACCTTTCTATAAATGATGCCATCTTCAAATCCGTTGAGTTTGGAACGGCTGTCTCCAAGTAGATTAAAGTTTTCAGTCCCTTCTTCCCCCCATAAAACTGGACATGATTTAATTAGGCTAAAATAGTGCACTTCGGTGATTTCCCCTGATCCTGCTTAGGGCAGAGGAGGAGATTTAACAAATCTATAGCATAAAGTCTAGCCCTGCTTTGAACTTAAGCTTGCTTTATTTTTGTGAGGAATTTTTAATGCACTTAAATGCATTTTTTTAATGTTCTCCTTTTATGTATTGTGTGTGTGTTCTCTGCAGACTCCCAGGCCTTTAAACATCATTAAACAAAACAACGGTGAGCAGATCATTAGGAGAAGAACAAGAAAGCGCCTTAACCCCGAGGCACTTCAGGCTGAGCAGCTCAACAAACAGCAGAGGGGTAGCAGTGAGGAGCAGGTCAACGGGAGCCCGTTAGAGAGGAGGTCAGAAGATCATGTAACTGAAAGTCACCAGAGAGAAATTCCGCTCCCGAGCCTAAGCAAATACGAAGCCCCGGGTTCATTGACTAAAAGCCATTCTGCTCAGCAGCCAGTCCTGGTCGGCCAAACTCTGGATATTCACAAAAGGATGCAACCTTTGCACATTCAGATAAAAAGTCCTCAGGAAAGTACTGGAGATCCAGGAAATAGCTCATCCGTATCTGAAGGGAAAGGAAGTTCTGAGAGAGGCAGTCCCATAGAAAAGTATATGAGACCTGCGAAGCACCCGAATTATTCACCACCAGGCAGCCCTATTGAAAAGTACCAGTACCCACTTTTTGGACTTCCCTTTGTACATAATGACTTCCAGAGTGAAGCTGATTGGCTGCGGTTCTGGAGTAAATATAAGCTCTCCGTTCCTGGGAATCCGCACTACTTGAGTCATGTGCCTGGCCTACCAAATCCTTGCCAAAACTATGTGCCTTATCCCACCTTCAATCTGCCTCCTCATTTTTCAGCTGTTGGATCAGACAATGACATTCCTCTAGATTTGGCGATCAAGCATTCCAGACCTGGGCCAACTGCAAACGGTGCCTCCAAGGAGAAAACGAAGGCACCACCAAATGTAAAAAATGAAGGTCCCTTGAATGTAGTAAAAACAGAGAAAGTTGATAGAAGTACTCAAGATGAACTTTCAACGAAGTGTGTGCACTGTGGCATTGTTTTTCTGGATGAAGTGATGTATGCTTTGCATATGAGTTGCCATGGTGACAGTGGGCCTTTCCAGTGCAGCATATGCCAGCATCTTTGCACGGACAAATATGACTTCACAACACATATCCAGAGGGGCCTGCATAGGAACAATGCACAAGCAGAAAAAAACGGAAAACCTAAAGAGTAAAACCTTAGCACTTAGCACAATTACATAGAAATAGGTTTTCTTGATGGGAATTCAATAGCTTGTAATGTCTTATGAAGACCTATTAAAAGAAATACTTCATAGAGCCTGCCTTATCCAACATGAAATTCCCTTCTTTTTATTATTCTTTCTTTCAATGAGTAGGTTACCGAGACTAAAAAGTGAGGCAAATGGTCAGTGAGAAAGAATGGAAGATGGCAAACAATCATTTTTTTTTAAAACCTACTAAGTTAAAACCATCTTGACTGATGTGCACTGGGGAAGTGATCTGTAAGAAGTACCACCAGACGATAATTGCTGTGTTTATAAAGAAAGGTAACACCTGGCTAGAATTAGAAAGAATTTACACATGATGCAAGTAAAGCAGTATTGGGCTGGCCATTGGCCCATTGGTTCAAAGATCCACAGATTGTTGCCTAAATTTAGAAGTGTCATGAAATCCTAGGCAGATGAGGAGAAGTCAGATCTCCAAGGCAATGCAAGGAAAATGGCGCCCTCTGATATCAGTCTCCTCTCATTGACCATGTCTCAGATTTTGACTTAGAAATGTGAGCTGTGGTTAGGCTTGGTGAGAGAGCAGCAGGAAACATGACAGATGGTGGCACAATGTTGTTGACCAGCCCTGCCTGTACATACACATGCACACCCTCTTTGGTATTTTTGTCCTTTAGATGTTCAGATACTCAGTAGACCTTTTGTTTGCAGTATAGGTTCATTTTGTCCAAATATATATCCATTTAAAAACACAATGTCCTCGATGCTTATGTAGTAATTTTATTTTAGGGAGACATTTCTTTCTTGTATGGGATGAACCAGTTTGGATTTGTTTTCTAAGCCTCCTGTTGGTCACTAATCTCACTTGGCACATTATAACTCAAAGAATCCCCTCAGTTCAAAAGAATAGATGGATACACAAGTCAGACTGTGGGTTTAATTTGTTTGGAACACATGGTTTTTCTCCACAAGGTAACCTGCTGTATTTATTTATTTTCTTTTGGTTAAATATAATTTCCAAACTTTGTGGTCAGGCAGCGTCTAAGGTTACGTTACCACAGACTGACAGTTGGTATATGTACCAATCAATCCCTTCATTAGATTTATACAGGTTTAGTTAAGTAGCATTAAATAGGATTCTTAGAAGTATGTCTTCATAGTACTTTTAATACTTAAGGCTTTGTAAAAACTATCTATGAAGGGAAAGCTCCTCAGCATAACTGCTCAGGGAAATAGGGCTAAATAACTGAACATTAAATAATTGGTTAAAGGTGCTGTTAGTCGAGCCTCAATGCTTGCTACAAGGATGTATGTACAAGGACTGACTTTAATAATTTGCATTATATTGTCCCAACCAGTAGTTTATTTTTTTGCCACGGAGATGTAGAAGATATTACAAGCTACTGGATGCACTGTCAGATTAACTTATTTCATTAAAGAAGTTGGGAGAACAAATAGGAAAAAAAAACTTATTTTTCTAGTAAATATTAATGTATTACATTTCAAATAATGGTGCCTGACATATTGAATAATTATTTTCTACAGTGTACGTATGCAACAAAGATATTCCATCATGCATTAGAGTCAGTTCTGGCTCTGCCTAGCTGTTTACATTTGCAAATGTAGCAAACAAGGTAATGAAGCAACTATTTCTATGGCAGTAGATATCTTTTGTGTGTGTGTGTGTGCATTAAAGTTGTAAACGGTAACATGAAACAAATGAAAGTTCTTAATATCATGGTATGGAAAACAAGAAGGAAATGAAAATATTTTTATGCCTACTTAGGAAAAAAAAGGGTAGCACTATTCATTCCAAGTACTTTTTTTTTTTAATTTTTAAGCTCTTAACTCACATTGTTATGCTTAAGATGATAAACATATATCCTCTTTTTATTGCTTTGTCTATGTTTCAGATGAAACATTTCAGAAATTATTTTGATAAGTGCTGCTGGAATCTGCAGCGCTGATGTTTTTATTGCATCCTGTAGTTGCATTTGCACTCCATTTTTACATTAATTCGCAGTTGCTTTGTATTGTTTTGTTTTGTTTGGGTTTTGTTTCTTTTTTTCACAGTGCCGGGTGTTCGTTTCTAAAAGTTGGATGGCAGGTAGAGTTCAACTGGTTCATGACTGTTGTAGTGAATGAAGTTAAAAATGTCTTTCTGATGTTGTGTTGTCATTTCCATTCTTGCATTTTTGTTTTCATGTAAAGAGAGAGAAAGAGAGAAATCAGGACTAAGTCCTCTGGTTCAGTTTCATAGTTTAAGGGGCCCTATCTGATTTCATCTGTCGCATAGCTCTGCTATTCATATAAACTGAAATAAAGAGGTGGAATGAAGAGCTTTGACATTCAATGATTTGCCATAATTTATCTTTCTTAGGAGTTTTGATGGATGCATCCCACAATGTATAGGCAGACTTCAGAAGTGACAATTAAAGACCTAAAAAGTAGATTCCCCCAACAACGTTTATGTTTTTTAAGGAAACGAATAATAAAATGCACTGTGGCAATCGTCAAGCAACATTATATGTAGACTGCTCAAATGAGAAAATACCAGAAATTTGATTAACAGGCATATTAAAGGTATTACTTTTTGGGCAAAACTACTCTTTCAGTGATTTCTCCAGTGTGTCAGACACAAACAGGTTGTTCATATTTGGCATGTATGCCTTCTTTTTAATTCAGTTGTTTTCTCAGACGTAGTAGCAATGATTAGTATTGGAAAATACATATCACTGTTCTTGGAATATTTATGGTCAGTCTACTTTTGGTAGAATATTCTTGAATAGCATTGACATGATAGATTTTATGCCATACTCCTTTATTGATTATTTTCATTTTTGCTTTCATTATTTTACATATTTTTGGTGGAGAAGAGGCTGGGCTTTTAAAAAAAAAAATTAAAATTATAACACTAAAATACTCTTTATTTTTTGACTTAATAAAAGCCTTTATTCCATCTCTCAAAATATTTTTTTTTGTTTTAAGATCTCTGATCATTTTGTCTTAAGTTGTGATTTTAAATGAGCTATTTCGATTCTTAATCTTTTGTTAGAGGACTTTCAAGATGATTTAGGAATTTTCCCTCTTGGAAAAGGCTTCCCCTATGATGAAAACTGTATGTCAGCTAAAACTGAATGCCATTTAAAAGCTGTAGATCCTTGAAAAATGACTTGTCTATGTTCTAAATTGAGCTTTGAGTCAAACTTTAGGCCAGCATTCTCTCTTCCTTTTCTTACTCTTTCTATCATTAGCATTCAGCCCTAGATCCATACTGTTGTTTGGGATAGAAAAATCATAAAGAGCCAGCCCACCTCAGAAGTTTGTGGATTTAGAGACACTCCAAGACTAAATAGATAGGAAAAGGATGGAGCTCTCATTGTTAACCCCTTCACTCTGTAGTTCAGAAGGTAAAAAGTGTGCCCAATTCTCTCTACATGACATATTGAGATGTTCTCTTTTAAAAATCCACTTTTAAGATAGTGATGTTCTGTTGTAACTGTCCTCTTTTAATAAAGGTAGATTTTAGAAAACAAGCATGGGGATTCTTATCTAAGGTAATAGTAATGAGAAGAAGAAAAAAAGTGATTATCTTTTACAGCTCTCTGTTGAAGCCTGTGGTAGCACATTATGTTTATGATTGCACATGTGCACATATTCTATTATGATCCAATGCAAATACAGCTCCAAAAATATTAAATGTATATATATATATATTTTAAAATGCCTGAGGAAATACATTTTTCTTAATAAATTGAAGATACCAATACTGCTATTAAAATATTAGCCTTCTGCTGTGTGGCTGCATACCATCGCAAAGTGACTTGTCTTGAGACCTGCGACCTGCCTGCCTGTTTAATCCATGAACAGGAACGCATCCCTGGAGGGGGAGTATCTGCCATCCAGCTGTGGAAACATGGGGTGGAGAAGCTGGTGGTTTGCTTCTATGCTCTATGCCAGCCTTCTGCCTAAACCTTAGATGTGCTCACAGCTACCTGTCTTTGGGTTGACTGAGGGCCATGGCAAAATGAACTCAAGGTGTCTTTGGTGAGCAAGTAGGTGACAGCTTGCTGACTGACCCAGGCACAGGAGAAAGCCGATGAATGGAAATGCAACCTGAGTATGAAACTAAATATGCTAACCAAAGGTAGGTACTGTTAGATGGAATTCTATCAGCAGGCAGCTGACTGTAAATGTGAAGAATATATAGAAAGAATGCATCAGACTTTGGAGGGCAGTGTTATTTTCCCAAAGAAAAGCCTTGGCCACGGGCAGAGGCTTAGTGTCTTTGTAGAGCACTTCTACTTGGTTTTCCATTGCTGGTTCTTAGCTGACTCACGCGTTCCTGATAGTGGTGCAGTTGTTTAGAAAGCATCCCCAGCTATTTTCAGTAATTAGACCCTCTGGACGATGCTAGGGCAGAAGTGTGTCAGGTCAAGGGTGAAGAAAATGTGAAATTCAGCAGTAATTCACACATGGAAACGGGATAATGTGTGTTCATGGATTGGTCTCTTCAAGGGAAGAGCTATTAGCTTTTGTGCCAGAGAAAAGCAAGAGTAACTTTACCATGGAAATAATGTTTAGCCTGCATCAGAAAAAATGGTTCTTCAAGACCCATATGTCCCAAACTGGATCCTGGTTACACCCTTGGTTGTTCTTTTTTTTGTTTGTTTGTTGGTTTTGTTTTTTTTTTTTTTTTTCAATATATGAACTGCAGCAAATCACTTTTTTCTTTTTGTGCCTCAGGTTCCTCAGCTGTAAAATGGAAAAAATATATTAATAATAATAATATTAATAATAATAATAATGGTAATGTAGTACTTGTTTGTAAAGCACTTTGAGATCCTTGGTTGAAAGGTACCATAGGAGCGCCAAGTATTATTATGTGGCCAAGGGGGTTATTTAAACTCTCAGTTTAGCAAGGGCCAGGAAAGGTTGGGGTCATTTTTGTTAAAGATGAGCTGTAAATATCATAAGTAGACAGCCTATAGTGTTGACTATGAAGAGGCAAAACTATTAGAAGGCTGATAAAACCATAATTTCTTAATGGCTACCAACAAGGCAAATATCACAGTAACACAATGCCAAATTCCTTAGGGTGGACTATTTGACAACAACATGGGTAATTTGGGGGGGAGGGTTGGGAGTGGGAAGCATCTCAAAATGCCAATGTCAAATTCACCTTCAGCAATATTCACCAGCAGAAAATGTCTTTCATATGGAATGATTTCATGTTGCTAAGAAGAAGAATTCAATTTGTAGTCCTGATTTGAATATTAGAATGTTGGCTATAATAGTTCTGTTCTTACAACACATGGAATTTTTTCGTTTTATTTTATTTTGTTTTCATAGTGCATGTTCATTTCTACTCACAAACATGTTCTTGGTGTATTTCTTATGCAAACAATCTTCAGGCAGCAAAGATGTCTGTTACATCTAAACTTGAATAATAAAGTTTTACCACCAGTTATACATAATGGCGTTGGTATGGTTTATATGGATTCACTTTTCATCCATGTAGCAATAGGAAGTACAGACCGGATGGTGAAATCACATCACCATTTTAAAAAACATTTCTAAGACTGATGAAGCCTGGATTCTCTCATCTTGTTTTGTTTTACTTTGCTTCTTTTTTTCTTTAACCAATTTCATATTGATAGATTTTGTGTAAAAATTATGCTAGTTTCTTTAGGAAGATTAACAATAAAAATTGTGTTTATTTCCAAAACATTTATTGAGTATCAAGTATTGAATGTTGACTATCGAGTAATAATTTTGTTAAAATATTAAAAACTCTTGCTTGCACAGTTTCAACTTTGACTCAATTGAATATACCCAAGTGACTAGGATGTGAGGATCCTGACAAATCATCTAAAAAATGTTTAATAGTACTTTGTGCATCTAAAATGGAATTCACCAGTGCCAGTTTCTGATGATTCTGAAAGACATGGAAGAAACCCAGGTGAGAAAAAGAGGCTGTGGGAAGAATCACCCAAGTGTTTTTTAACCAGAAGAAGAGACACCAAAGCACAGGACATAAAGTACATAAATAATTGATTCAGAAGATTAGTTTCAAAAGTTCCAAAATAATTAGTGCATCCTGCTTGCACAATCTTTATTTCTCATTTTTGTGAACCCAAATTAAGGAACAAATCCTTTTACTTTTTCTTCTTCCCCCTTGTTCTTTCCCATCGCCCATGTTTTGAAAACAGCAGAGCGGAGACTCTTTGAGGGGCTTTCACAACTGTAAGGAGCTTGTTTCCCAGCTGGAGGCAATGTTCTCAAGATAAGAGTATAGTAATAACAATGTGATGACTTTTCCTTATAGAGCAGTGGAGTCTTCCTGTTAGAATCCCATTAGAGGAGAAATGTGTTGCCATCAGCTATTTACTCTTGTCTGCAGGGAGGGAAGACAGTGAATCAGCACTGTTCCGCCTTCCTCCCTTGCCTTTTGGTCTCAGCTCTCTGGGAGGGTAGGGGCTCAGAAACTCAAACACAAAAAAGGAGCAGGCAAGGAACCTGGTGGGTGGAGACTCCCAGGAAGAGGAGAGCTTGGTCCCCTATGAAAATAGTTGTGCCTGGGCTCTAAGAATATTGCCAAGGGAGAATGACTTGTGTTCCCAGATTTTCAGTTTTCAGGGGAAAAAATGGACAAAGGGAATTCTAAACATCATATGCTGGCTTTTTTTTTTTTTTTTTAATACTGCAAACTAAACGAAACACTGGTTCAGAATAAATTCCCCCATTAGACTGCCAGAGTATGACCCTGGAGTCTGAACATCAGTGTACTCTGAAAACTAGCAGGAGGAAATTGTCCAAAGAACAGAAGTCCCTTGTGTTTCTCTTGAATGTTGTCTCAGGTCCTGGTGCATCTCCAGTTGTACCAGGAAACCTGCGACACCAGCCTGATTCCTTCAGAGCCAAAATTGTCTAAGACTAAAACATTTGTGCAGGAGAAAAATAAGCCATTTTTTAAAATATACAGCCAATTACTTTGTTCTGCTTCTCTGTTAACCCCAAGTACAGTTGTGGTGGTGTGTGTTTGCTTGTTTTTAAACATCCTGGCATGAACAAATTCATCCTTTCATGAACAAAGAAATGTCAAAAGCTATTCAAGTTTATAGTTGCTAAAGTTAATCTTCCGTAATGGCCAAGGACCCCTTTAATCCGCAAACACTAACAGTTGATGTGGAGGGAAGGGCTTTTGCATGCTGTAGCTGGTCATATTCATGAATTAAAACACACGTTCTTTTTTTTTTTTTTGACAGGCAGAGTGGACAGAGAGAAAGGTCTTCCTTTTGCTGTTGGTTCACCCTCCAATGGCCGCCACGGCCGGCACGCTGCGGCCGGCGCACCGCGCTGATCCGATGGCAGGAGCCAGGTACTTATCCTGGTCTCCCATGGGGTGCAGGGCCCAAGCACTTGGGCCATCCTCCACTGCACTCCCGGGCCACAGCAGAGAGCTGGCCTGGAAGAAGGGCAACCGGGACAGAATCCGGCGCCCCGACTGGGATTAGAACCTGGTGTGCCGGCGCCGCAAGGCGGAGGATTAGCCTAATGAGCCGCGGCGCCGACATGAATAAAAAATTTTAAACATTATTCATAATCTGATTTCTAGTTTTACAATACTGTTCTTCAATATATTCAGGGTGTTGGTAATATGAAGAGCACCATTTGTTACTGTTCATATAGAATGTATCATCGGAGGCCACTACTGGCATAGGGTGTATCACATGAGGCATCTATCACCACTTCTCCCAGCTTCCTGCTTCATACCAGCCGTAACAACAGCAAAAATTAATACTAACTTTCTTCCTCAGTTGAGCACAAGCTACTGGTCTTGATTTCCCTGTCATCATCATGATCATCATTTTTAATTTAAAAGAGACAAACTTATAGCTCCTTTCTCTGCCTGTTCATTTCCCAAAGCCCCCAGCAGACAAGGGTGGACCAAGACAAAGGTGGGAGCCAGGAACTCAATTCAGGCCTTCCACCTGGGTGACAGGAACCCAATTATTTGAGCCATCACTGCTGTCTCCCAAGGTCTGCCTTATCAGGAAGCCAGAGCCAGAAGCCAGAGTTGGGAGTCAAACAGAGGCACTCGAATATGGGACACAGGGGTCTTAATCTCTAAATTAAACATCTACACTTGCCTCATAAGTTTAAAGACTGCATTTAAGTGTTAGTGTTTGTTAAATGTTTTCGCAAAAGCAAAGGAAGCCTTTCTCATTGGATGCCTTTGTGTCCTCTGATTCACTTTCAAACACTGTTACCATAGTCACATCTTTGAGTTCAACAGGAAATAGATGGTCATTTGCTTTTGGAGAGTGGACTATTGATGATGGACTGTTTTCTTTGGCATTTTGAACTATTCCATTTGAGTAAAGTTTGATACAAACACAGTTTCAGCAGCATGTTCCTTCATTACAGGATGGCAGTAATACTCTAACATAAACTGCGGGCAGATAATCATTTCAATTAGCTAAATTTCAAGAGCAACACATCATTTTAACAAGACCTACTCCTGAACGCCCGCTTCCCAGACTCTGCTCACATGCACTTAAATAAAGAAGCCACTGAAACATCCTCCTTTTGACCTTCCCGCCCCAACCAATTTAACCTCAAAAGCAAACTCTTAAATGCTTTATGATTAACAACTGCTGTTTTGGAGACAAGCATCAATATGAATTTCTGTCACTAAATTCAGCTACAGCACGTTATTTTACATAAAATGTTTTTCTAATAAAAGTTAGATACCCAGGGAAAAGAGTACTTCCTATTAGTACACACCATTGTCCATGATAATTTTAAAAAACGTATTATTTTAAGATGGACTAAGGAAGTAAAAGTCAACATTTTGTAAGCAATAATACATTGGGATATGTTTTAAATATCTTTGGTCTGCAGGGAAGATATAAAACAATAACAACAATAGTAAACAAATCCGCAATCATTACACGTTGCTGTAACATACTAACTTCTACATTGGGGACAATCCTCATGAAATTTTAGGTGAAATTTCTAATCAATTGTCACAATAACAAAATTTTGAGTACTATAATGAAGGCTTAGGAGCCAATCAGCCATCAGAGGTATTCTTCTTCTTTTTTAACTGTGCTTTTCTTTCAAAAACATTTGTTTACAGGCCATGTTTATTAATAGAAATACATAGGAGATGATACCATACCCTTTAGCAAATATGCAATTTATTAAAGCAGGCAAAAAGTACAATCTGTAAAGCTCTCCAGGGCTCCAATGCAGATTCTTGCATGCAATGAATTGAGCTCTGTACCTTCTTAGCACCTACTAATTTCTATTTCCCAAGCTGACTAAATCAACTTGGTCTTATCCATAAATGTTTGTAGACATTCTGTTGGTCATAGATGATGTTTTACATACAGGATCCTTAGGTGTGGTGTGCCATCATAATGGGCTTGATGGTAAATAAAGTAACTAGATCATCATTTAGTTTTTAGATTATCAAAACGTAACAACAGCCAAGTCTGGACCAGGCTGAAGCTAGGAGCCAGGAACTCCATTTGGTCTCCCACAAGGGTGGCAGAGGACAAAGCACTTGGGTCATCTTCTGCCGCCTTCCTTTGCACATTAGTAGGAGGCTGGATCAGAAGCGAGGCAACTGAGACTGGAACTGTCACTCCGAATGCGGCCATCACAAGTGGCAGCTTAATCCACTGCTCCAAGATGCCAGCCCTCACCTGTGGTTGTGGAATCTGGATAGCTTCCTTCTTTCCCAAAGCACTGGGAAGTGAACAAAAACAGTCACTTTGGACAGAGAATATTTGCTCTATTTCTCTTTAGGAAATCACAGCAGAATATCCAACCCAGCACTATCTATGTGTACAATTTTGATGATACAGAAGCTAATTCAACTACTTGCCTTAGATCTATTTGGAAAACATTTTTGTGATTACCAGAAGAGGATAGGGAAGGAAAGAAAAGGTTAATATATATATATAATAGATATATTATATATATATTAGATTAACTTTATGGCTTAATATCAATAAAAATAGAGCTCATTTTTTCTTTGTTCTGAATACCTCCCAGAGTATCTAGTAATAGTGACTATTTAATAAATACTTTCTAGATTCAGTGGAATCATCCATTAATGCTCCAAAAAATGTCAACTAGGGAAAGAGTTTTTAACAAAAATAGAAAATTACATTTGAGAGTTGTTTGAGGCATAAACTCTTTGGATTCATTTTCTCTATTTAAAATTTAATACCAACTAAATTATTTTAAACATATAAGTCACAGAGTCAAAACATATTAATTAAATCATGAAGGCTCAAGGATTGGGTATAACTAACCAGGAACTGGAAATGCAGGTTGGCAATCTATATCACTAAAATACATTCAAGAGAAACTGCAAAATCCAACTTGTACTAAATTATTTGTGTCCTCCTATGAATGATCTGAAAATTCCCCAGTAAAATGCATATGTTGAATCCCAGGT